TAACATTGTGTTACTGGAATAAAATGGCATGCCCTGGTATTGAGGAATCTTGTTTTTGGAGAATCCGTAATAAGACTTCCGTAATCAAAACATAACGAGATGCCATGGAAACGGCAATACACAAATATACTATTGTAGCCGATCTCATCCAGGCTGATGATGCCATCACTCTCTCAGCTTTAATATTAGTTCATGCGAGTCCACATGAACTGATAGACACGTCTTGTTATGAGCTGGAAAAGGCAGGAGATGAGTGCGGTCGTGTGCTCAGGATCTGTGTGGTTCAGATGATGTGTTTATTATGTAACGCTGCTCTTCCTGGAATCACTGCGCAAGTTCAAATGATGTCAGCTTCAGCTGAAAGGCTCCATTCTGTTCAAATCCACCTTCAGGATTCAGTGTGTGTTCACTCGGGTTTTGTTTCATGTCAATGGGTCAGCAGGAGAAAAGCTTCTGGGTATACAGTGGGCTCCAAAAGTCTGATACCACTAGTCAAGATGCTTCTATTTTTCTCATTTTTATTTCATTACAAATCATATGATCAGATCAGTTTGAGTGAAAAGTTTCAGGATTTCTTAGTATTAGTCTTGTTCTTAATATATTAATATAATAAAAAATGCAAAAATGTGTATTAATATATAAATATATGATTAATAAAATTATTATTATTATTAAATTAATGCATAAATTAAATAAAGAATTAATGAAAATTATATTTTTTAAATATTTTTACTGTGCTTCTTATTAATTTCATTTAATATTAAGACAAAAAATGCACAAACAAAAATCTTAAATACAGATGTTTAAATTGATATGTGATTAGAAAAAATAATAAATGTCTACACCATTTATAAATGTATCACATGCCACTGAAGATTGAAATGTGACTAAATATATATATATGTGTTTATTATGTAACGCTGCTCTTCCTGGAATCAGTGCTCAAGTTCAAATGATGTCAGAGCTTCGGATGTTAAAATCCACCTTCAGGATTCTGCGTGTGTTCACTCAGGTTTTGTCTCATGTCAATGGGTCAGCAGGAGAAATGCTTCTGTGTATTTATCATTTACAATATAGATATAGAGTGGGGTCCAAAAGTCTAATGCCACTAGTCACAATGCTTCTATTTTTCTCATCTTTATTTCATTACAAATCATATGATCAGTATCAGTTTCAGCGAAAATTTTTGCAGTTAACATGATTTTCAGGATTTCTTAGTTTGTGTTTTGTTTTTAATATATGAATATAATAAAAAGTGTATTAATATAATTCATACAATTCATATATAAATAAATTGATAAATGAACATACAAATATACATAATTGTATGTTAGTGTGTTAGAAGTACAGATAATCAGTTTTGGCCTTGAAAAGCAAAACCACAATATTGTCTGTCTCAGATAATGAATATAAATCATGACAGCTCACTGTTTATGTCTTTGTTTAGGTGTTGCTGTGCAGTGGTGACAAAGAGAAATTCACTTCTTCTCCACAGGTAACTTTATGATTTACCAGATTAACCGTAATGACAATATTCTGAAAAAAAAAGAGATAGTTTTCAGCATTCAGATTCAGATTTGAGATGGTCTTTGATTTTACATTTATGTGTTTAGCGGAAACTTTTATCAAGAGCAGTTGAAAAACAAGCAAGCTGTTTTTAGCTGCTTTTTTCATATTTATTTTCATCATACAGTTTTTTTTTTTAAAGTCTTCATTAAAGCATCAACCAAACTAACCAGCTCTGAGATTAATCACATCAAACATTTGAAGCAAGAAATTTGTGAAATTTAAATTCTTTTATAAGTACACAGATGGTTGCGGTAGAGGTGGTGTTAATGGTGTAATTATTATAAAACTTTTTTTTTTTTAAACTATTATATTATAAAAAAAACTTTTTAATATTTTTTATTATAAAACAGTATAACAATAAACTTTTGGAAAATACTCTAATATATACAAAAATGTAATACATTTCATGTTTAATTCCGAATACACAATTCACACCAGTGTTTGTTTGTTTGTTTGTTTTTTAGTATCATTTAGAATTTATTCGTTTTTAAAAATTTTGAATTATTTTTTTGTGTGTTTTCCATATTCATTTTAATTAAAATTAGTAATTTTTGTTGTGTTTTTTTGTTTTTATTTTTGTAGTTTTTTAATTTGTATATATAGTTCAGTCATAAAACTCTAGTTGGCGCAGGCGACGGGTTGTTAACGTAACCGATGATATTCAGAGAGTTAAACGACTTGGCACAAGCTGATTGGTTCATGCTGCATATGCAGCCAATGAGCTTGTTTTTATTCATTTTTAGTTCATTTTAGTACATCAAGATAAACCAAGTGAAAATGTGAAATGTTGCTTTGGCAATGAGCTTAGTTTTTTTATATTTATTTAATATATATATATATATATATATATATATATATATATATATATATACAGCGTG